TGGGAAGGCAGAAGTCAACCCCAAGGCCCCTTGAATGCGGTGTGCCGCAGGGGTCGGTCCTCTCCCCCCTCCTATTTAACATTTACATGAAGCCACTGGGTGAGATCATCAGACAGCATGGGGTGAGGTTTCATCAGTATGCTGATGATACCCAGCTATATATCTCCTCCTCGAGCTCTCTCAGTGAAGCGGCTGTGATGGGCCGTTGCCTTGAAGGTCTGGATGGGGTTTAACAGACTCAGGCTCAATCCTGATAAGACCAAGTGGCTTTGGATGTTGCCTCCCAAGGATCATGTTGACTGTCCAGTTTTGACTCTAGCGGGGGAGCGGGTTCGCAACTTGGGTATTCTCCTTGATCCACAGCTAAATTTGGAACATCATTTGACGGCTGTGGCTGGGAGGACCTTTGCACAAGTTCGTCTGTTGCACCAGTTGCGACCTACCTGGACCAGGAGGCTCTACTTACAGTCACTCATGCCCTTGTCACCTCACGTCTGGACTACTGCAACGCGCTCTACATGGGGTTACCCTTGAAAAAGTATTCGGAGACTACAGTTGGTCCAGAATGCAGCCGTGTGAGTGATAGTGGGTGCTCCTCTATACACCCACTCCTCCGTGAGCTGCACTGGTTGCCTATTGGTCTCCGGGTCCAATTCAAGGTGTTGGTTATTACCTTTAAAGACCTATATGGCTCAGGGCCAGGCTATTTGCAAGACCGCCTACTACCTCATAGTTCCCTTCGTCCAGTTAGATCCCACAGGCTGGGCCTCCTTCAGGTCCCGTCGGCCAAGCAGTGCCATTTGGCGGGGCCGCGGAGGAGGGCTTTCTCTGTGATTATGCCCATGTCTTAGAACCAGCTCCCCCCGGAGATTAGGACCGCTCCCACCCTGTTGGTTTTCTGTAAGCTGCCTAAGGCCTGGCTTTTCCGGCAGGCTTGGGGTTTATAAAATCTGACCCCTGGATGACTGTCATTGTACTGTTTGTTTTGTCATGTTTTATGGTGTTTTTATTGTTAGCCGCCCAGAGTTCTGTGGGAGTGGGGCAGTTTATAAATTTTAAAAATAAAATAAAATAAATAAATGATATAAACACAAGGAAATCAAATTCTGGGATTATAATATTGTTTGGAGGGACTCTGATTGGATGGAAGTCCAGAAAACAAACAATTGTTGCTATTTCAACAGTGGAAGCAGAGTTTATTGCTTTATCTGAATTGTGTTCTGAAGTAACATGGTATGTACAGTTGTTGCAAGATTTAAATATTAATGTAAAAGAATCTGTAAAGGTATTTGAAGACAATGCTGCCTGTATAAAAATGGCAACTGGGGACAGGGTGAAGAACAGAAATAAACATGTAGACATTAAGTATTGTAATGTCAGGGAAACTGTAAAAAGAAAATTGATTAGTTTACATCATTGTTCTTCTGTGGATAATTTGGCAGACATGATGACTAAACCATTGGGTAGTGTTCACTATGGAGAATGTGTTAAGTCAATAGGTCTGATGTCTCTTCCTGTCATGAAGGGAGGAGTGTTGGAATATTCATGAACAGGAAGAGTCATGTGGTAACTCAGTCAGCCAATGTGAAGAAAGTGCTACTGAGTCTGTGCAAAAGAGTATTGAGTTAGGAGCTGGATTTCCAGTCTCAGGTTTGTCTCTGGTCTGTCTCTGTAAGAAGTCTTTGTTAAGCTATGTTGCTGTAAAGAAGAATGGTATTGTAAATATTTTTATATAAATATAAAGTTATTTGAATTAGCTAAATGCAGTCAACTGTGAGAGCTTCTGATTTATTTTTCACCGATAGAGAAATTAAAATTCTCTAACAGAAGTTGAAGTTGCTAGAACCTTGGTTGAAACTGACCACGTCATGCTGAAATTCAATATAATGCAAACATAAACAATAGAAAATAATCCAACCAGAATCTTAAACATCAAAAGAGCTGATTTTAACAAACTCAGAGAGAACCTAGGAAAGATTCCATGGACGAAAATCCTAAAGGGGAAAACAACGCAAGAAGCATGGGAAACTCTGAAAAATATGATCATAAAAGCCCTTCCTAGCACAAAACAAGAAATTCAAGAAGATACCAGCATGGCTTCACAAATCTCTCTCTGACAAACTGTAAGACAAAAAGGACAAGTACAAAAAGTGGAAAGAGGACACATAACTAAGGTTGATTATCAGCAGAAAGCCAGAACTAGCTTTCATCTAGTAACTACTTCACTTCAGATTTAGAAATGAAATTGTATATAAAGGAAGCAACAGGCAACAGGGAGAAAGCAGAACTGCTTCTCATTCTTTGCATCAGTCTTCACACAAAAAGAAACTATAGCTCAACATACCCAAAAAACTACTGCAAAAGACAAACTAGAAACAAAAATTAAAATAAGCAAGAAAATGGTAAGAGAACACCTATCCAACCTTGATGAATATATATCACTTGGACCCAACAGATTACATCCCAGAATTCTGAAGGAGCTGGCAGATATTATCTCAGAACCATTGTACCATATTTTTCAAAAATCCTGGAACATCAGAGAAGTACCTGATGATTGGAAAAGGGCTAATATTATTCTCATCTTCAAGAAAGGGAGAAAATCAGTCTAACATCAATACCTGGGAAGATTCGGGAAAAGATAATCAAAAAACAGATCTTCAAACAACTAGAAGCAAACAAAATTATAACCAGTAGCCAGCATGGGTTTGTCAGAAACAGATCATGTGAAACCAATCTTATTTCATTCTTTGATAAAGCGACTAAATTAGTAGACCAGCGAAATGTTGTGGACATAGTATACTTAGACTTTAGTAAGGAATTTGACAAAGTAGACCACAACCTGCTGCTTAGTAAGCTAGAAAAAAATGGGATAGACAACAACATCATCAGATAAATCTGTAGCTGGCTGACAAACCATACTCAGCGAGTAGTCCTCAAAGGTACTACATCCACATGGAGAGAAGTAAACAGTGGCGTACCACAAGGCCCCATCTTAGGCCCAGTACTCTTCAATATATTCATTAATGACTTAGATGAGGGAATAGAAGAGGAACTCATCAAATTTACAGATGACACTAAACTGGCAGTAATAGCCAACACCCCAGAAGACAAGCTCAGGATCCAAAAAGATCTTGACAAACTTGAACAATGGGCCCTATTCAACAAAATGAGTTTTAATATGAAGAAAAGCAAAGTTTTACATTTAGACAGGAAAAAACAAATGTTTAAGTACAGATTAGGCAAGAACTGGCTCAAAAACAGCAACCTTGGAGTCCTAGTGGACAATCACTTGACTAGCCAGCAGTGTGCAGCAGTGTGCAGCAGCAGCCAAAAAAGTTAATACAATCCTGGGTTGTATAAACAGAGGCATAGAATCAAGATCACGTGAAGTATTAGTACCACTTTACAAAACCCTAGTAAGACCACACCTGGAATACTGCAACCAATTTTGTTCATCATACTACAAAAAAGATGTTGAGGTCTTCAGGCCTGGAGACTAAAACATATGAAGAACAGCTGCAGGACTTGGGTTTGGCTAGTCTAAAGAAAAGAAGAAACAGGGGTGACATGATAGCAGTATTCCAGTATTTGAAGGGCTGCCACAAAGAAGAAGGGGTCAAACTATTCTCCAAAGCACCAGAGGGTAAGACAAGAAATAATGGTTGGAAACTGACCAAAGAGACAAGCAACCTGGAATTAAGGAGAAACTTCCTAACAGTGAGGACAATTAACCAGCAGAACAGCTTGCCTTCAGAAATTGTGGACACTCCATCACTGGAGATTTTTAAGAAGAGACTTAACAATCACTTGTCTGAAATGGTATATATTCTCCTGCTTGAGCAGGGGGCTGGACTAGAAGATCTCTAAGGCCTCTTCCAACTGTATTCTATTCTGTTCTGTTCTATTCTAATTTCACAGGTTCAGCTGGATCAGCTTCTTCATTCTTCATGACAGTGCTGCTTATTACCTTTAAAGCCATATAAGGCATGGGACTAGGTTATTTGCAGGACTACCTCTCCCTAAGATCATACAAGATAATGTATCATCCTACCAAATCAGATACATTAGGCATGATCCTAGTCCTTGTCCTTAAATATCGCCATCTTAGGGAATCTAGAAAGTTTGGCTTTTCTTTGGTAATTCCTGCTCTATGAAATTCATCCTAAAATTGAAAAGTCTTCACTCTTAAAATTTCCAAAAAGAATTCGAGCCTTAGCCTCCCCCCCCCAAAAAAAAATCCGATGATTTTTTGGTGATCTAAGGTGATCTAAGTTTGGTTTTAATATTTTATTGTAGATAAATGTTTTATATTTTGGTTAAGAGCAACACACAGTTTGGTATAGGATCAACTACTACATAAATGTTATAAAAATAAATAAATGTCCGTATATCAATCAGGAAATGAGTTTGTTTGTACTTCTGGGACAAGCAGTTGTAATAAATTTTCCTTTCCCTCTCTAAAGCTATTAATTTTATGCTGTAACAATCAACATTTTGAGCTGTTTAGCAACCTTTAGCCCTGCTATTCCTTCTGTTCAAAGTTTATGAAAGACTAAGTTCACCAACCTATGATTTGTACCTATATTTACTGTAAGCCTATTTACTTACTAATTGAAAGTAATACTGACCGGGTTAGTTTTCTTCTTTATGGCATGTGTATCTATTTGCCCATTAATCTACCTATAATCTTGGTTATTCCTCTTTATTTGACAAGTTGATATTCTAGGTGTTGTTTAAAGAATGTTACTTGCATGGTTCCCACATACTGTATCTAGAAAGAATCTTTTCAAGATGAATGTATGGAAATGCAGTGATGCAATCATGTCTATTCTGTTCTCAAATAGACCCTCTTATAGTATCTGCTAAAATGTTCTGAGTGAGATATGTCCCTTAGGCAAACATAATTGGAAAACTATATAAAATGTTTAAAAGTATACTTGTACAGAGTTAAAGATATCAGCCATTCTACAATAACAGAAATGTATGCAAACTTTACTTACTGACACATTTCGGTGAAGGTGACCATCCATTCTTTGTACATTCAACCACCTTTTCTCCATTGGTTGGTTCAAAAATAAATCCACTGTCACACTGAATTCGAATTAGATCCCCATCATGGTATGTAGTTCTTTGAGGTCGGAAAGAACCATTCAATATTCTTGGAGAGTTACATGTAATTTCTAGAGAAAATAAATCATATAATATATTGAAAAAAGAAAATCTTGCACTCAGATTATGGGCATTTCTTTCTATTAGCACAAAACAATAACAAATATATCCTTCACTTTGGTTTTGAATTGAAATATGAAGCTACAATTTAATGTCCCCATACTTGCTATTCACTCCCACTGTCAATCCCAGTAGTATTTTCAACCACCTGCAGGTTGCAAATTAGGGGCTCCACATTGTAGTGGTTACTGTCCTGCCTAAAGTTCCAGTTCCAGTTACTGGTGACAGGGGTAAAGAGGTCAGGCCCTCAAATGCTCTGTGATGGAATCTGCAGTTTCTTTTTCCATTTCTGTTCAAATTCTGCTCAGCATTAGGATCTATCCATGATGATAGCTCTCAGGTAGAAGATAACTAAGAACAATATAGATGGAGTCCATTACGGTGACAATGGATGCACTGCTGGAAGATCTGAAGGACAGATTGGGACAGATTTCCTAGAGAAAATCAATATATGTAATTGCTGAGAAGGGATACCAACTTCCTAACTGTAATTAATTAATTTTCTCTTTCTGGGATTGCCCTGGAGGTACCTTGGAAAAATCAGCTTGTCTATACTTTAATACCCTGTATGCTCAGTCTGTATGTTACACCACTGCTATGTTACACCACTGCTGCAGTTGGTTCTTGCCCAAGTGTGGGGTATCTATGTCATTGAATTTTCCAAATAACCATGGGTTTCTAACCTGGATGGCACAACAACATATTACAAAAGCTATCAGATTGGTCAGGGTGTGATATCAGGTCTTTTCCTTGCAGCTCCCTTCCTTGGAAACAACTGCTTTAAATTGAGGATGACAGTCACTCTCCTGTAGGAGATGCCCAGGCTGAGCTCAAGGGAGGGATCAAATGCATCATCAGTCTCGAGTCCATTCATACTCATAAGAGGTTTAAGCCCAATCCACCTTGAATTCTGTGACTCTTATCTACCGTCAGTTTGCTTTGCCTGTTAGTAGTTCATATTCTTGTAGTGAGCTTTAGCATGCAATAAACCTATATTTATTTATACTGCTTGGACTATAGATTTCCTGTGCTTCATACCTCTGGCTTTCTTAAACCTATTAGTGAATGTAGAACCAAAGATATTGTGTCTATATGTGTGCATTTTTCTTATGATTTAATCTTTGTCATTATATTATTGAATTTTATTTTTAATTATTTTGTTATTTTACTACCTGTAAATTGCCTAGAATCCACAAGGATCAACATGTTACAGAAATGGCATGTATGAATAAACAGAAACATCTCCATGAAGTTCCTTTGATGCCTGTGGTGGAACGGATGGTTCTGGGAGAGGCTGAACTGCTAGAAATATGAAATGTCCTTCACTAGATATCTACTAATCTGTTAGTATTAAAATTAGAAGCACAGAATTATTCTTTACCAGTAACTAAAGAGGTTCCTATAGTCTTCTTAGAAACTGACTTGGAATTTCTATTAGTATTGAAATTTAGATTTTGATATGGTAATATTTTATAAATTCTTTAAAAATAGAAACATGCAGTAGCTTAGCTATGTTAATGAAAGAGCAGACTTTTGGGGGAAAGCCTGAAGAATGCAGTGTGAAGTTTTTTCACTAACTTAGCCATGAAATGGCCAAAGGGTGTGTCTTTCATTGCACTACTCTCTTTCTCCAGCAGTCTGCAGCCTTTCAGGTTGTCCTATTTCAACTACATCTCAAGAAATTCCATTGGGCCCTTGCAGAATGGAAAACTCAGCCCAGCCAGGGAGATTTCAGAGAGATAAAAATATCTGTAGCAGTAAAGGACATATGTAAATAACTGCAATTTATTCCATGTTTATTAATGATAAATAGGCACAAACTGAAGAGCTTTGGCTCTGTATTATGACAGCAGGGTTATAAAATTAAACTTTTAAGTCACCTTTGCATTTAGGAATCACGGGTGATGTCCCATCACACTGGAGTACAAAAACTGATTGGGAAGAATTTGCTGCTAGGACATAACCTGTTTTACAAGTCAGCTCAATAGAATGATCACGTTGCAGAAATATATTTTCAGGTGCATCCATTCCATCTTTAACTTGTATCATCTGCCTTTCCAGTTCAGTCCTGGAGATCACACAGGGATCTGAGGTGAAAGGAAAGCAAATCCTGTGAGAAAAGGCTATCAGGATACAAATGCATCATATAATCTTGTTGCAAAATTCTAATAGTAGAATTTAGCTTTCATCTAGTAACTACTTCACCTCAGATTTAGAAATGAACTTGTATATAAAGGAGAGCTGCTGCAAGCAAGAGCAATTAAATGATCTTTATGCAAGAGAGAAAGAAAGAAATGAACCTTAATGAGTAAAAATGCTCATGACAATTGGGGGAAAACTTTCTTTTCTGCTTACCAAGACAAATGGGTGCTTTTGTCCAGGTCCCATTGGCACAAAAAGATCTGTTCTGGCCTTCCATGGCATAATACCTTTGGCATCTGAATTCTACTGAAGAGCCAGACCTGTACTGCTTCTCAGATAAAGTAGTAATGTCTCCGTTTTCTATCCTGGGTGGACCACTGCAGTTTCCACCTCTTTCTATTAAACAGAAAGAAAAAAAAAAAACATTAGGCCTGGAAATGCTAGCCAAAGTTGTTGACATTCCTTAAAATAATAATTGCAAAGAAATTGGTTTGAAATTATTACAGATTCTGCCCAATTTTCCAATAAAATCAGGGACCACCTATTTTTAAAATGGAATTATTTCATACACAAGTTACGTATTTGTGAAACTCAGCTTCAAAACACAACCTACATCTCCACAAAGCACAGCTGAACCAACCGTTCACAACCTCCTTTTATTCTTTTGCTATATGTTGATACACTTTTTTGCTCTATGTTGATCCAGGTAATTACCAAGTTCTTAATAGAACTATATGATATAATGGTGTGTGGAAATGAACTTGGGAGAAAGGGAAAAGAAATGCAGCCAAGCGAACCGTCAGATAAAATGCAACTAAGCTCACCCCAAGTATAGAGAGCAAGCAGTTCAAAAGAGACCTTCCCGTTTTCTTGGACTGTAAATGGCACAAAGGGAAGGAATGTACTTTGGTATTGCAAGATTCTGTTAATGTAATCCTACAGAAAAATAGAATTAACTCATTTGATCCTACATCCTGTCTGGTCTATCTTGCAAGGCTGACACATAATTACTTTCTAATAAAGGCCATAAAGGATAATATTCAGTTAAATTAATTGTGACACATAGAGATGTTAAAATAAATGGTAATGGTAATATCAGTATCGTATAATAGCTCATTCCATTGGAAAAAAGTAAATTCATACATGCAGGATGTGTAATTCTCACGCCATCATGTGTAAATATTTGAAACTTTATATTTTGTTGTTTTACTTGGTTTAAACAACATGCTAACATTCACCAGGTACTCAATATTTTAAGTTTAATCTCTTTGAGCTGATCAGCATAAAAGTCATCCGTCAGTTCTGTAATCATAGCAAAGAATACTTTCTATCTGTAAGTTAATGTAATTGTCAAAAACCCTTCAAGTTAAATTCTTGTATATAAGTTTGCATCATTTCCCTTTTTTATAAATTTTTATTAAACATAAAAACTAACACAAATAGAGCAGAAGAAGGAAGGAAGGAAGGAAGGAAGGAAGGAAGGAAGGAAGGAAGGAAGGAAGGAAGGAAGGAAGGAAGGAAGGAAGGAATTGAGAAGAAAAAAACATATAAAGTAGTATTCAGTTTCCTTTGCAGCAAATATAAGTACATTTACAAAATTCTTTCTTATACTGTGATTTTAAAAAATTATGTCACTTTCCGATTATTTTACAGATATTTCTTTTAAGAGAAATATTTCCATCAGACTGAAAATGTACAAGATTTAGGCTTCCACCTACAAATAAATGATCAAGAGTCAGAGTGACAATTTTAAAAATTATCTATTAATTTATTCTGTTTTTGTATGGCTATAAAATTATCATAATAATTGAAAATTAAATGTCTTCAAGCAAAGAATAATAAAATATTCATGATGGAAATATTCTGAAACCTATAGAATTATTAAATAAAATTATAATCCCAGCCACCTTAATATTAACATGTTAATATTATTAAGTTATTAAGTTAATAATATTAACTCATCCAACCAATTTCAAACACTTTTCATCATGCAAAATATGGGTTTCCTTTAATAGTATAATCTTTGCAATTTTTGAAACAAATTCCTATCCTTACCAATAATATGCCTATCTTCAACCACATGGGATCAATTCAGATGTTTGAGGAGATGCCTCAACATCCTTCTCCAATGTGATGTACTTCAGTTTGTTTTAGATTACAATTGCTAAAATTCTAAGCCAAGATGTGAGTACTTTCACTGAAGAATAAAACACTTTTTAAACAATGTGGTTTTAGAAACAATTGTTCATATTCTTTATGTAATATTAATTAATTTAATTAGTTCTAATCTTGGAAGGAATCCATCATATTGACAGGACGCTTACCAGAGATACATAATGGCAACTCCATGTAACCGTCAACACACATTCTGACTGACGGAGCCACAAGCACATATCCTTCACTGCACTGAAATTGCAGGCTGTGATTACTTTGAATAAGCCGAGCTTTTCTTTGATTCCCAAACACAAACAACTTTTTTGCTGCTAGCTGTTGTCTTGTGATACTGCAGGGTGCTAAAAAAAAACCCAGAAATAAAGTAGATATTCTCAAGGGATGCTGCAGAGATATTTACAACAGACACTTACAAATTTCAGAAATGAGATACCATTGTTGGGAAATTTCCCTATTAACATTCTAAGAAAAAATAAGGTGGATATTCTCAAGGGACATAATTTGTCCATTGGTTTCCTTCTATTCCATCCCCAAGAATATTAGCCTGGTTTACAAATCTCAATTGATAGTTCCAGGCCAAAATCAAACAAGCTAAATTATAGCACAATATTAATGATAACCAAGTTATGATCCTGCTATAGTTTTTAGACTTATAACAGAGGATTAGCTTGCAGGAACATGCCCAAAGGATGATATTGGTTTTTTTTTCACACTAAGAACAAACAGCCCAATTCAGAATCTTATGTAAAGATATTTTGAGCTGTAATGGAAGAAAATTTGAGACAGATGGCGTGCTCCATATTCTGCTGAAATATGATGCAAAATTTCTCAACATTTCTAAGCATAGAGGATTTGTCCCTGTTCCCTTGATTTTCTTGTTTTGTCTTTATTGCTTATATTAATGAACTTATTGTTGTTAATAGCAGGGGCAATCCAGTATCCTATGAATCAATTTCCTTCCACCCATTTAACTGTTTAAGGATTATAGTTTTGACAGACAATACTTTTAAAGCATTCTCTTAGCTACCCAGCAAATGTTATAAAGTCTTTGTTGAATTAATTCCATCCTAACATCTGTAATGAGAAGAATGAATAATCTTGAACAACAGGAGGAAGAACTACTACTAAGACAACAATAAACTTCCTCTTTGAGGGAGATGGATGATTTAGAAATATGAAATATGAATGAAGAGATGGATGGATGGATGGATGGATGGATGGATGGGTGAATGAGTGAATGAATGAAATTTGAGTCCTGAGCAGAAATGTTTTGGTGAAGTCCTTTTGTCCTCTGTATAATCTCTTGAGGAATTGTACTGAACTGTCTGAGCTTTTGTTATCTCACAGAAAGTTCTTTAGAAAGAATGTGGGAATGTGACGAATTACTCAATGGAAACACCTACTCGGATGGAGAAATCTTTTTAACTTTGCTTAGTTAATTCTAACTGCCAGACTCAAAAACATTTCTTCTACAGAAATGTAACCGCATCAAGCATTCATATTGGCTGGACTCCATACTAAGAGAATTCACTTTCCTATTTTACTAATCACTGAATTTGTGTCTAGATACATGCATATCACAGTTACTCATCATTTTACATAAGTGAACATACAGTGGGACAAAAAAGTATTTAATCAGCCACCAATTGTGCAAGTTCTCCCACTTAAAAAGATGAGAGAGGCCTGTAATTGTCATCATAGGTAGACCTCAACTATGAGAGACAAAATGAGAAAACAAATCAAGACAATCACATTGTTTGATTTGGAAAGAATTTATTTGCAAATTATGGTGGAAAATAAGTATGTGGTCACCTACAAACAAGCAAGATTTCTGGCTCTCACAGACCTGTAACTTCTTCTTTAAGAGGCTCCTCTGTCCTCCACTCATTACCTGTATTAATGGCACCTGTTTGAATTTGTTATCAGTATAAAAGACACCTGTCCACAACGTCAAACAGTCACACTCCAAACTCCACTATGGTGAAGATCAAAGAGCTGTCGAAGGACACCAGAAACAAAATTGTAGACCTGCACCAGGCTGGGAAGACTGAATCTGCAATAGGCAAGCAGCTTGGTGTGAAGAAATCAACTGTGGGAGCAATAATTAGAAAATGGAAGACATACAAGGCCACTGATAATCTCCCTCGATCTGGGGCTCCACTCAAGATCTCACCCCATGGGATCAACATGATCACAAGAATAGTGAGCAAAAATCCCACAACAGCACAGGGGGACCTAGTGAATGACCTGCAGAGAGCTGGGACCAATGTAACAAAGGCAACCATTAGTAACACACTATGCCACCAGGGACTCAGATCCTGCAGTGCCAGACGTGTCCCCCTGCTTAAGCCAGTACATGTCCGGGCCCATCTGAAGTTTGCTAGAGAGTATTTGGTTGATCCAGAAGAGGATTGGGAGAATGTCAAAAGTAGAACTGTTTGGTAGAAACACAAGTCGTCGTGTTTGGAGGAGAGAGAATGCTGAGTTGCATCCAAAGAATACCATACCTACTGTGAAGCATGGGGGTGGCAACATCATGCTTTGGGGCTGTTTCTCTGCAAAGGGACCAGGATGACTGATCCATGTACAGGAAAGAATGAATGGGGCCATGTATCGTGAGATTTTGAATGCAAACCTCCTTTCATCAGCAAGGGCATTGAAGATGAAACGTTGCTGGGTCTTTCAGCATGACAATGATCCCAAACACACTGCCCAGGCAATGAAGGAGTGGCTTTGTAAGAAGCATTTCAAGGTCTTGGAGTGGCCTAGCCAGTCTCCAGATCTCAACCCCATAGAAAACCTTTGGAGGGAGTTGAAAGTCCGTATTGCCCAGCAACAGCCCCAAAACATCACCGGTCTAGAGGAGATCTGCATGGAGGAATGGGCCAACATACCAGCAACAGTGTGTGCCAACCTTGTGAAGACTTACAGAAAACGTTTGACCTCTGTCATTGCCAACAAAGGATATATAACAAAGTATTGAGATGAACTTTTGATATTGACCACATACTTATTTTCCACCATAATTTGCAAATAAATTCTTTCCAAACTAGACAATGTGATTGTCTGGATTTGTTTTCTCATTTTGTCTCTCATAGTTGAGTTCTACCTATGATGACAATTACAGGCCTCTCTCATCTTTTTAAGTGGGAGAACTTGCACAATTGGTGGCTGACTAAATACTTTTTTGCCCCACTGTAAGCTTCCAATTGAATATTGTTTAATTATATTGACTGATTTTCATGTTCATTCAACAATTGGATCAGTTTCATTCTCAAAGAATTTGGTAGCTGCAATTTTTCTCCTATTGAGGGAATTCCAATGATGGCTTACCCAAGCATTTTGGTGGATGAGGTGTCCATTCTTGTGCTTTACACTGAATCCATTCAGGTCCTTCCAAGATATAAACAGGGTTGCACCTGTACTGCACTCGGTCATTTTCCAGATACTTGGCTTTCTCAGTGCTCACAATTTCTCCAAAGTCAATCTCATCTGGCTCTTCACATTCTGAAATTATATTTACATTAAATTATCTTACTTGCTTAGACAAGCTTGTGTTTCCTATTTACTCTGTTGAATTGTGAGATAACAAATTTCCCTCCTAGATAATTAGTTCCCACTATTTATTAATTTATTAATTAATAAATCAATACCTGCTAGGCACTTAATGCTCACTACAGGTAGTCTTTGACTTACAACTCATCACTTAATGATGTTCAAAATTCTGAAGGAGATACTTGCAACCTGAATTTGAAGTTGCAACAGTCACCCACCACAATGGTCACATGACTGCATTTCAGGCACTTGGTAACTGGGTTACATTTGTGGTCATTTATATCATCTTGTAGTCACATGACCCTGTTTTATGACAGTTTTGCCAAAACCCAGCATTTATTTCCAGCAAATCATTACTTCTCTTAACAACTGCAGATTTGCTTACTAACCATGACAATTTGCTTAATGGTCAGTACAAAAAAGGTCAATCACTGACTGACTTGCTTTAAGACCATAACAAGTTATGACCATGATGGGCAGGCTCCAAGTGGGTCATAATTCAAGAACTACCTGTAATATCCAACATTCCCCTTCCTAACCTAAGTATATCTGAGGATAGGGAGGTAGAGAGAGATTGAAGGGCTATTAAACTTGCCCCCCCCCCAAAGTATCCTCTTTGTATGTGATTCTGTGGAATTTCATCCTTGTCAGTATTTTGGCTTACCCTGGGTGGCAAGAATATTTCTGACAGTTTTACTTATTGGATTTTCTTCATTAAACCTTTCTTAATTGTAATCATCCTGTCATCTTTCTCTGCATACTTCATCAGCAACATCTGATCAATTTTTTTTTAATGCTGGCAACATTTCTTTTCCCAGAGAAATCAAACCATTGGTTACTAGTATTGGCCTTGATATTAATTTCTTACAGGGTAGATTTGATTTAAATCAAGTTGATTTAAATCATGATTTAAATCACTAGTAGAAAGGCTTGATTTAAATCAACTCGATTTAAATCATAATTTTTAAAGAGCAACTGTCATCTCTGTCTCGCAGCAGCTCCTCCTCTGACCAGCTGTTGACTCATCGACAGTCCCATTCACTTTAATGGGAGGGCTGGTGATGCGGCAGTGACACAACAAGGTGAGGGGCATGGTGGGCAGCAGGTGAGTGGATGTCTGCTAACAGGAGCTGCCATGATGGATCTGAAATGACAGGTGCTCATTAAATGTAAGGACTCATTCTTGCTGGTAGTTAGAATCTTTAATATTATTATTTGCAAACAAAATGAAGGTTTGCTATTTAGAAAAATAAGCTGTCAGGTTAGTAAAACAGAGATATCAGCAGTGATTTTAGGTTAATATGTTAATCACACATAGTTGGAGAACTACTCAAATTCTTTTATTTAATTAAAACAATAACATTATATTACATATTCTTGTATTTAAACATCAATGTTTAAGCAAATGAAACAGAAATGGAAAAGAAAAACAAGCTTTCCTGCTTTATCAGGCCCCAGATGATTTCTCAATTTAGAGTGAACAAGTCCAAAGGAAGAGAATATTCTTTCAATGCCAGCAGAAGAGGCCACAGTGCTTAAAAGTGAAATAATTACTTCAACACTTTCTGAATCCAAGTGCTTAAGTGATTTTCATCACTTTCTTTAAAACCTCATCAGCAAACATATATTTCTTGAATGGTTCCCCCTTAGCTCTGAAGCTCATTATAGTTGGCATTAGAGATGGATGATTGCTGGATACCCATACCATGGCTAACTCCTCTTCTTCAGCAATTAAGGTTTGTCCCTGGTACTGGATATTGACAATGTTTGTGAATGAGCTGGAGACAGTGCTTGTCCCATTCGCTTTTTAAAATCTTGTAATTTCTGCTTGTCAGTGTGTAGTTGTGTTTTTAAGTGCTCGCTCAGTTCCTTCCAAATTTCAACAGCATCAGCCATAAAACTACTATTTTTCTGGATTTTGTTTAAAGCTTCAGAAACAGGTTTCAGGATGTTCAGCATATGTTCAACATTTCTCTTAAGCCCTATGTTGAGGATTTTGGCTGTGACGGTGCCATCTATTTTTTCTCGATTTTACTCACAAAATCAGAATAGGACAGTTTTTTATATATTGTTCAAAACAGTCTACTACAGAGTTCCATCTAACATCTTGTGGGACAGTTAACTTGGTTATTTTCAGATCTGATCCTGCAAAATGATTGTTACGGAAGTATTTAGCAATTTCAACAACATTACTCTTTATTTCTGGGATATAGAAATTTTTGGCTAGGAGATGCATCAAATGACCACTACAACCATATATTATTAGTTTGGTAGTTTCTTTATGTTGTTCTAAATTTCTTCTCATTTTGGACACATTTGCAGCATTGTCTGTGACCAAACCGCGTACTTGACATTTGAATTTTTTTCCCGCATGTTATGATAACTTTTGCTGCTACTTCTTTTAAGTATTCTGCTGTGTGTGCATTTCCTGAAGTATCTATTGTTTCTGCAAGGAATACATACCCTTCTTCTGTTGTTATACAGGTACATACAATAGGATCATTGTGGACATTATTCCACGCATCAAGACTTAGGTTAACAATTTTACCTTCTAGTTGCACATTGCATAATTTCTTCATCATATACTTTAACCAGCAGTTTTCCTGCAACATCTTATCTACTTGGTGGACTATATACTCGTCTCAATGACGGAATCATATTAACAAAGCGTGGGTTTTCAAGCACATGGAAAGAAGAGTTTGTTGCATAAACAAACCGAGCAATTTTTTCATCAATTAACTCTTTTTCTAATCTGCTGGTTTTTATCTATGGTGGTGGTTCCAGATGGTTTCTTTCTTTTAGGTGATATATTGTGGATGTGTGTAAATGATGTGATTGATGCACTATCCTGGAGAGATAACTCTGAAACTGTAGAACAAGAGGATGGCAATTTAGATAATGGATAGTTTCCAGAATCTTTTATGTTGATGGTGGTTTCACCTAAACAAAAAAGTCAATGCTGTTATTTTATTATTTAAACCATGTATGCTTATTGTGAATTTCTCATTGTATTCACACACAGTACAGCCTAAAAAAGAATATTTGCATATATCAACTCATTATTTCTTTTTTTCTTTTGGCAACTGTATGAAAATGCAGTGCCACGCAGTAACAATAGCAGATATATATTATTGCTTTAGCATAACAATACCTGATGGCAGTCTAACAATTATGGTGAAATAAAATAGTTTACTAACCTGAAGGTCCTGCCTCTTTAAACATGGTCTTTCATCACAGCACTTCTCATGATGTTGTTTCATTCAGGCCATCAGGTCTTGCATGTCTTGTTGCATTGCTTGCATTTTGCACGCATACCTGCTTTACCCGTAGGTAGAGGAACATTAAAATATTCCAAACTGGGACTCTTTTACAGCCTCCTGCCATTTTGCTCCTCAAGGGAGGAATAAAGCACTTCAAACTATGTACAGAAAGATCACAAGGTTTATAAGCTGCTAGAACAGGGGTGTCAAACTGCCGGCCTGCCGGCAGATGCATCACCAGGAAACCACACCCACACCATTGCCAGCAATGGAGAAAAAGCTCTGATATGTCGCACAATGTCACATGAGGTCGGGAGTTTTACATGTCTGTGCTAGAAGGTTTCGCTTTCATTTTTACTGCTTGTCCTTCCTCCTCACACCTTAAGCCTGGTACAGATGCATTTCTCTTCAAACAATCATACAGTTTGTAGTGTACATAGATTTTCAAAACAATGGGATAAAGGAATATTCCTGAACTTTGTTTTATGATTTATCTCATGGTTACTACATGGTGAATGCATCAATGCAGTGCATGTTATTTCAGCTTGCAGAGCTTGGATTCGTTGAATGAGTTTTCCAAAAATGTAAATATTGCAGAATATACAGCCTCATGCTACATAACTGAACTCCATTTTATGCTGAATAAACTAAATTATTAATGTATTTTAAATAGAGAACCATCTTTAAATAGATTTTTATTCCAAAAGCATTTTATTAAAATAAATTTGATAAAAATTAAAAAAAATGATTTAAATAAAAAATCATTTTTATTTCTTTTCTTAAAAAAATCATCAATTAGAAATTTTCTCAATACATATTATTTATAGTTTGTTTCTTTTTATCAGGTCTAAATGCTGCCAGCTGAGAATTTATTTTGTGGTTTTTAACTCGCTCATCTTGTTCTTTCCTTGTTCTTCTTTCTTTTTTAGAGATATGGAACATAGTATGGCTCTGAAAGAATACAATAGAGCAGACATGTCAAACGAAAGGCCTGGGGACCGTATGCGGCCCACAAAGTGGTTTCATGTGGCCCGTGAAGCCATCCTGGAAACGGTGAGGGAACAGCCCCCGCTGCCTTAGCCCTGGCCCAGGCCGGCTGGGAGCCAATGTACAATTTTGTGGTGGCCATCTATGCTGAAATGCATTCACTCTTAGCTCCACAAGGCCGTCTGGAAACAGCGAGGAACCAGTCTCTGCCATGTCGGCCCCACCTCCTGAGTGCATGCTGGGGAGGTGTCACCCTTTATGAGGAATGAAAAATGTACCATCATCTGGCTTGATGGGTTCTGCCCTGGTCCCACCCATTTCTGCCAAAGACCCTCAGATATGTCCCACTCCTCCCAGGCCCCCACAGGCACCCTTGATATGAATGATGTATAGCTGGGCCATACCCACTCCATCCACGCCCACTCAGTAGCTGCCCCCAGGGCAACTACAATGCTGATGCGGCCCTCAATGAAATTGAGTTTGATACCCCTGCAATAGAGGGATAATATACACATACAAGGACACACACACAAAGATATTAAAGTATATAAAGAATGTAAATATACATTTCAAATCAGCCAGGGGAAGAAAATAATTGTAGGATAACTATTTCTAATCCTTCAAGTATCAAATTTGAAAATAAGACCCTGAAACGGGGCAGCATTCGCTACTTATTGTATTGATAAGTTATCAGTTAATATTATAATTATTAGGAAAGCAATACCTTCTATGCTTTCTCTTGATTGAGGCTGGTTGTCCTCTTCCTTTTCCTTCATGAATGACTTTTACAACCATCAAATACACTGATAAATATATGATTGACTCAAAATATGAATATTAGCATGAATATCAGCAAATATAGTCTTAGCTTCAATGACTTCTGAAGTGAATATTATCCTCGTCTTCTTATGAAGGATGTATTCATTGTGAATGTACAACATCTACTAATTTCTTTGTATTTATCCTGATATAAACCCAACATCTTTATAATCACTTTGACTTATGAAGCCTCATTTTAGATATGGTAATCATTTGGTTATTATCATATCTTCTTTATTAACTGAAACAATGTCCCTCAAAATGGGTGTGAATTTATAATACTGATACAAAATATTTTGCTATTCACAAATCAGTTGCTGAAAAATCTTATTTGGAAAGAAGATTAGAATTATAAATCTATTAAAGAATCCAGCATTACAAATTTCCAGAAAGCACAAATAAAAAATGGAACTCTTTACTTTTGCTAAAAGTAACTATTCCTTTAATGAATGCTACAGAAACTATTTCCCTTAATAACCCTTTGATTTCTCTTCTTCTTAACTTACCATTTTGAGAAGAGCAGCCTGGCCAGAGAAAAAAAGCAGTAGCCAGGAGCAGCCAGCCCTTCATAGCTCTTCAGGTAATGTCCCAACCACTAAAATTCAGCTCAAGAGTTTGACTATTTCTGCTGATTTCTCCGAGCTACCACCATCCCTTCCTCCTTTTTGCTTGTTGGTTTGTTTTTCGTTAGGGAACTTGGGAGGAGGAAGTATTACTGGAACAGAAATATGACCTTGATGGCTTTGGGAACTTTGTGTTGCAATTATAACAACAAACAAATCAAGCAATAGTTTAGCTTTTCAGGCGTCCTTCCAACTCTTCAGAAGGAAAAAAAACACCACTTGCATTCCAGCATTAATAAATTCTGAACCTTCCCAAGGTTTCCAGCAGTAGCAGCTAACAACGAAATTATTATTATGACATTTAAGAAACGTTCTTGGCTACGGAAACCATTTTCTCATTCTTCCATGTTTTAACACTGTATTTTTATTATAAATCACCCAGAGAGACTCAGATGAAAAGGATACTGTAGAAATCTAATAACTAAATAAAATTACATTTGATATCTGACATATCTATTTTGCATTTATTATGTCAATATTTGTAGAAACCTCAAGTTTGCAGATATCCAGTTCTTTGGTTAAATTTCTCTGGAGTTTAACAGTCTTCAGTAAATGCAGTTAAATATTAGCCAATCATATCAGAGAGACTGCTTGTACACTTTGGTACCTGTTCTCCCCCCCCCCCCCGATTCTGTAGAACTAGGATTCTGCATCTTTGGTCTGAGTGTCAGATATGTTATACACATACAAAAGTGGTGGAGTTTACATCACAATTTATGATACTGTTTTCATCCTTTTGACAAAAGCATTGAATTCTGTAGTACTTCTAACTTGATACTATTATTTTTAAATGATTCTTAGCTACAGGTTTGTAATTGGACATGTTGGTTATCCCCAAAGTAAATGCTTGTGGAAAGCAGATAAGGCTACAGTAGAAGACACCAAGAGGAGATATATATCACAAAGTTTGTTGCTAAAGAGGTTCAGAGTAATGCTGGAAGAAACAGTAGTTTTTTATTAGGCTCATACATTGACATACATGCTACAGGAATTCTTTATTTTGGATTAAGTTCAGCTCTTGGAAGTCTGTTCAGCAATTATAGTACATACTTCTTTTTTAACATATTAGTCCCTTTGATTAGAAATGTCACTTCTGGATCAACCCCTGGAAATGCTTCTCATTGGCCCAAAATCAAATATGATGTCTGTAGCCTAGAACAGGGCTTTTCAACCTTTTCATCCATTGTACCACTTTTAGGATATGGAGCATCCAAGTACCACCAGTTGCCTATCAAGGTGTCAAAAACTTGATGGCCCATAAAAAAAAAGTGATGAAGTACAGGTAGTCCTCAACTTACAACAGTTCACTTAGTAACTGTTTGAAGTTACAATGGCACTGAAACAAGTGCCCCCCAAGCCACAGCCGAGCAACACACCTGCCTGCCCACCTGGCAGCGCTCTTCCTCCTATCTGAGGTTTTCATTGTTGTGAGCATTTCTGTTGAGGATTGGCAGTGGGGGTAGGGTGGGGGGGTGTTTGGTTTTTATTCCCCCCATCTGCTGAATGGTTGCAGCAGGTTTTGGTCACTTCACATGACCCTGGGACACTGTGACCATCATAAATATGAATCAGTTGCCAAGCATCTGAATGTAAATCACAAGACCCTGGAGATGCTGCAACATTCCAGCTGATCGGCACTTCTTCTGGGCTCAGAAGTGCCAGGATAAATGCCAAGCTCCAGCTGGAGACTGGCGCTGATTCTGGCGCTTTCACTGAGCCCTGACAGTCCCAAAGAAGCATTGATTCTGGCGCTTCCGCTGAGCCGTGACAACCCTGCAGCTCCAGCCATCTCGCACTGAGGCTTGTGTGGTGCTGCCACCAGTTCAGCTCATTCCCTTCCCCGGCTACCACTTTTCTAGGATCACTGGTTGAAAAGCCTTGGCCTAGAAGTACTGCTGGTTGATCCAAAACTGGAAGGGACACTATTAAGCCAAAAATGGAATTGACATCAAGGTCCCTCCCCCAGAAATACAGTTGATCACCCAGAAGTGATCCTCATTGGCCTGAATTGGAATTCCTGTCATAGGCTCAAATCAAGAAGTAATAAGATATATGCTCAAACACTGAAATAATGTCATAATCCCAAACTGAGAAGGCACTTTAATAATTGTTCTTTCCCCTGCATATACTACATATACTCCCATGTAAAGCAGAACTCCACAATTTTAATGACAGGAGCCTCAGTATTGTGCTCTTACTACAAGCTAAGCAAACTTTGGTTGTATTTCTCTCATTTAATTAACAGAATCATAGGCCTTTTTTGTGCAAAAAACGAAAGCATAGCATGCACATGCACTCACCCACACACACAAAGAGAGACAGACAAGCCCAGAAAGAGATAAATACAGATGCACATACTTTTTTAATGCTAGAAAGCAAGCATTTGAGCTCTTCTTTTCTAGCTGGTTTACACAGCACTTCCTGGAACAATATTTTACATTTGAAAAATTGAAAAAAAAACCCTCTATTTTACAAATACATGCAAACAAGATCGTTATAAAATTGTTCCATATTTTTTTTATGTTCAGTTATAGACCGGAATCTTACCAGACTAAAGCACTAATCTCTATAATTATCAGCTATATTTTCTGAAAGGCTAGAGAGGTCTCCCCTTTTGGCCCTGCCTTTTGGCACATCAAAGATTCCAAGCTGGGATTTCCCAAGATGCCTCCTTGGGAAAGACCTCCTCCCTCCTGCAACTCTAGATTACATTCCATCATGTCACCTTCCTCTCCAAACAATCCCACCTTCCTCCATCTCCTCTTCTTAATTGTAATTCTCATGGGAATTAGTTAGTTGGAGTAGATATGATACCTCAGCTGCACAACCATCCTCTATGTCTGCTGAATCCTTCATGCTAGCTGGTTCCTCCTGCAAAATATCTATGCAATTCTTCCTTGCTTTTTCTTGGGAAATGAAGGCTTCAAATTGAAGGCTGAACTTTGCTGACCTCAACATTCCCTTCCTACTGGGGCCCCTCTTTGTAGTAAATGTCTTCACTCATTAGCTCCTCTACTACATCTGGCTTAAGTGAGCTTGGAAGGCCATAGCTTGTCTGGGAAACACCAGTGGAAATGCTCCACCACTTCAGGTACAAACATATATCTTGCATTTATTCTTTTTTTTCCTCATTCAAACTTTTTTATTGGTTTATCAAAATTTAAAATACAAAGAAAAATTCAAAAAAGTAATAGAAAAGTAGAAGGAGGGGGAAGGAAAGGGAAATAAATAGTATAAAGAGGGGAAGAGAAAGAAAAAGGAACCAACTTCTGACACTCTTTACACAATGGAAAGTAATAACATTACAACCACAACTTTTTACTTTTACAGAGCAGTATGTACAAGCCATTTCTATAGCAATAAACCTATATAATTAGCAAAAACCAAAAGAAAATCTCATTTCTTTTTTCATTGCAAGCAGAAAATCCGAAAGCAATTTCAAAATAGAAACAAGGTTAGATATATTCTCTTCTTTGGATAAAAGAATCAGTGTGACCATCTCTGCTTCTCTTTGTTGTGGAGAATAGTATATACTTCTGTTAACTCCTTAATCTTTATCATAGTTCACATTAAGGAAATCCTCTATATAAAATAAAGTAATATAGAGGATATCTTGCATTTTTTCAAGAACTCCTTGCCTCTGAGAAACCCCTAAAATACTGGATTCCCTTCTGTCATCTTTGAGAGTCCAAGATCCCTTCTACTTTGTAATCTTCTTAACATCTACTCTGATTACAATGTGCTTGGCAGTGCCTCTTTCACCAACAACAATGGACAAAAAACATAGTTAATGTCAGGTTCAGAGAACCAAGAATATCATGAGGAATTACTTAAGAGTAGTTTCTTTATTGTTGCTCACATATAGTCAGGAATCTTGCCAAAGCATTGATTGCATAGCTATTAGATATATCCTCTGAAAGACTAGCTCTCTTCCTGTATACCAAAACTATAAGTAGATTTGCTTCTTTGGGGCTTCCGGCACTGCGCAGTAGTGACTGGTCATGGGCTTGTGGACCACTGCACCCCGGCGGCTAATTTTCATCCTGCCTAGAGACCTTAACTCTAATGGGTCCAAGCCACCCTGGGGAGGTGGCAAAGAAAGAAGGGTGCCCAGGCGACTCTGGAATGATGGTGGTTGTTCCCTTCGTCTTGGGGAAAGCCTTCTAACCCGACAGGAGAAAGGCTGTATTTCATCGATCAGCCCAAGCTACTTGCAACCGGAGTCCAAAAGAACTAACCAACACAACAGTAAACAGCGGGCTTGAAATTGGGTGAGGAATCTGATTTTCCCTTTTCTATTCTATACTTAATTTCCTGGAAAAGATCCCCAAGAAGTGATGGGGGGGGACTTCCGCCCAACCCTCGTAATAACAGAAGAGGTGAATTAAAATTTCCATGGAGGATTGAAATATATGGTAGTGAAATAAATATATAAACTTGAAAGTTGAAATTTAATTTTGAATGTTTAAAATTGTTGAATGGTTAAGACTCCTATTTTAAAGACCATTGTTCATACTGAAAACTAAATAGATGCTGACAACTAGTGGTGGATGAAAATTATGACAGTTATGATCTCCATAGAGAACTTGCCACAACCTGGGAAAAGTTAATCTGTGTTTGTGACCTTCAAAGCTTTAATAACAAAGAACAGCTGTGACAAGAAAAAAAAAGACAACAATCTGGGTTGCAGACAAAGAGAGAACTATAAACTTTACAAAAAAAACCCTTTTTTGAACTCTTTAGATTACAAATATTTATTTAATCGGGACTCTAAAGCTATTCACAGAAAAGAAAGAAAACTTCAACTTTTGGTCATCATGGATCAGAGAGATGTAGATAAAACACATCAAGAAAACCTAAATACCTCTCAGGAGGAGATATATAGTATATTGCAATTAATTCAAACAACAATGAGTTCAAATCACAAAAAAATCCAAAATTTGAAAATATAAATCAATCTATTTCAAAGTTAACTCTATAACAAAAAAAAAAAAACTTCCAGGAAACAACAACAGAGAAGGAACAGAAAAAACAAATAAGTGGAGATAAAATTGAAAATAGAGACTTAAAGATGGAAC